GTGAGATTATGTCTCTCAAGGCAGGTCTTCACTACGGGGGGGGCGATTTAAGATACGCAAATTCAGCTACGCGAATAGCGTAGCTGAATTCGACGTATCGCAGCCGACTTACCCCGCTGTAGGGACGGCGGCAAAATCGACCTCTGTGGCTTCCCGTCGACGGCGCTTACTCCCACCTCCACTGGTGGAGTAAGAGCGTCGATTCGGGGATCGATTGTCGCATCCCGACGGGATGTGATAAATCGATCCCCGAGAGGTCGATTTCTACCCGCCGATTCAGGCGGGTAGTGTAGACCTAGCCTAAGTCACTGCCCGCATCGGCAGAAGAAGGGGAGGACTGACAGCAGACCAGCAACATCTTCCAGGAGACACTTTGCCTCCGGCAGGTCCAAACTCTGCAGGAGAGACACACAACAGTGGTATGTGCTATACAATTCTAACAGGGTGTAACATGTAGTCCCTCTGGCAGTCATCAATCCACTCCATAACTATTCACTCCAGGCCAGGATCTGGGGAGACCCTGCATGGTGACACTAACCTTTTGTCTATACTGCATTTTGGAGCCTGTGGGAGCGAGCCTCTCAGCCTGGTTCGACAGTGAGCGGGGTTCACACTAAGACTCTAAAAACAGCTGTGCAGACAGACCTTTGAAGCCCACCTCCCTCCCCACCTAAGCTTCAGAGCCTTCAAAGGTCTATCAAGCCGGCATGGGAGGCTTGCTCCCACGGACTTCAAAACGCAGTGTAGACATATCTTAAGTTGCCAGGCTAAGGCAGCCCCAGGGAGAACCACAGGGTCTGTCTGTATCTAGGAGCCTCAGGAAAAAATCCTCTATAATCATTACAACCTGTTCTCTACCATGAGAGACCCTACATACCCCACCCTCGGTACTGATTCTACTCTACCCCATCACTCCTCTCTGGGGTTTCTAGCACCGTGTCTGTGCATACCTGGCTCTTTCACAAGAGGGTTAGGAGGGAACGTTTGTGCAGAATGAGGCACAATCCATCCCAAAGCAATTCAACAAAAGAGTTCAGCTAACCCAGATGATTCTGCTGCCTCTGCTGAACATTTACGAAGGAGGAATACAGATCTACTGGGAGACATAAGGCAGGGGCTGGAAACCTGGTTACTTTAACTTAGAAAATGGAGACAGCAAAATGAACAGCCCTCTAGAAATCCATTTGAGATGGAATTTGTTCCATGTTCCTACCTCAGAATTAATTTTCATCGTCTCTTCAGTGTGGTAAAGTAGGAGCTTTTGCCCAGAAGAAGTTAAGTTAACGTACACCTGTAGACAGGGGTACTGAGAGATTTTCCAGCAGTCTGGACCACAGCTAAATGAGCAGTTAAATGCTTCTGTGATCGATGCATTGAGGAGTGTGCACTGAGCCTCTTCTGTCCAAACACTAGGTAGAAAAGAGACAGGTTAGACAAATCACAGCAAAAACGGGCAGCAAAGTAGCAAACAGAGCTGGGTGTTACCTTCAGGGATATGATACTGTAAGTCTTTAGGGGAGAAGCGCTTTCACGAGACTGTTGCTTACAGGGTGGACTTACATTCTCAGTACAGCTCATCCATCATAGAATGGATTATTATTCTGTAGCATGTGAAGGAATACAAATATAGTGGCTACATATGCATGAAATGGCAACACACTTGGGTGGGTTGTTGGCAGTAGGGATTTAACCTGGTCTCTTAACCAAGGCTCTAGCAGATTAATCAATCTCTAGTTGGCCTAGCCACCACTAGAGGGAGACAGAGCATCACACTGACTGGACATGGGCACGTGTTATGTTCTTCCATAGACAAAAAGCAGACAGGAACTTTTTGTTTGGAGAACATTTGAGATTAAAGGAAACAAAGAAAGCTAAGATCAAATGTAAAACATGCCTGGGAGAGACCATGGTCTGCATGGCTCACTCATTAATGGCAGTCATCTTGAATTAACTCTGAGAGTGGGCTCCTGAAGGCAGAGTAGGAGGACCAATTCACTCTTAAAGGTGAAGTACTTAGAAAATACCTTCACAGTTACATAGACACATTGTACCATATGGCCCTCCACCAGCATACGGAATGCTACTTGTCAGAATACTTTTTCTTCTGGTACAGGTTTTGAAGAAGATAAATCACTTTGAGAAATCATTCTGGAGAATTTCTAGCCTATCTTGGGTACATAAGAGCCTAAAAGGGAGCAATGTATCCATTTGAACCCCACAGATAGGTACTGTGTCATGAACCTTATTTCTACTGAGATGGAAATAAGAAAATATAATCTATGACTAGGTTTTTCTTAGGGACAAAGGTCACTGGAATGTCGCAACTGACAGCTATTCAGGAAATTCCATAAGTGTCCAGAGGGGGTCTCCCTCTCCCATTGGTCTTCCTCTGAACCCCTATGGGAGCCCCAAGATGTTCTGGCGCCTTTTGCGCTTACATTGCAAAGGCTGTCCTATCTTTCTGCCACAGAAGGGCTGGGACATAGCTCCTTCCAGAGCATGTCAACCCTTCTTCCTGCTATAGCAAAGTATTCCCAACCTCTGCAAACTGTGGACCAAGTATGAATCAGGGTTTGTCTACATAGGGATACTCAGGAAAGTTAATCTGAATTAACTAAAAGTGTGACAAGATTATATGCTAAGTGATTTAGATGATCTCCTGGATAATTCTCTGACCAAGTATTTTGCTCTGGTAATAATTATAGTTGTAGGTTCCATGTATTAAAAATGGTTGATAATTAAAGTTCAATTATGGCATGATAATTCTGTTAATGATTATGAAAAAAGTGTAGGATTTTTGCCCATCAGGGCAAGATGTATTTTGGTGGTGGGGAATTGTTCTCTGTGGCCTAATGGCTATTGCAGGAGAAATGACAGAGACTCCTGGGATCTATTCCTGATGCCTTCACTTTTATTTCTCTGTACCTTATTTTACCCATGTATAAAGGGTTATAATTGCACCTATCTGACAGCTGAGTTTTGAGGCTTAGTTAATTAATATCTTCAAAGTGTTTTGATATCCTTGGACAATATGTCCTATAGCTCATAACATAACTGATCTTTCCAAAAAAGCAATGTTGACATTAACAGCCGCCATAATTGACAATTATATTGCTAAGGAGGTCTGGGAGAGAGAGTGATTTTGAAATGTAAACACTCTTGGATGTTTAAACAGGCTTGATCTCTGTCTCTAAAGTTTAAGATCTGTCTGGATTTAAAAAGGGATGAATAATTTTATGCCTGGGATAAGATGCAGGGCAACTAATCCTCATGCATCAGTGCCCACCTGAGCATTGCAGAGGTCAGGAAGGGATAGTTTCCTACAGGTACAGCATTACACAATGGATGTTTCCCCTGCTTTCTCTGCAGAATCAGGTATTGGCCACTGCCAGAGGCAGGATATTGGGCTTGATGGACTAATGGTCCAATCCAGAATGGCACATTATTTGTTCCCATGTCTTCATGGATCAGAATAGAAAAGAATTGCTGACAACCCCATCACAAGTCTAGGATGGAGTCTAAGTAGGGCTCATGCTTGAAAGTTACTCTGAAGCACAGCCAGTGAATCAGAGGGCAAACTTTCTGGTCCTTAGCTAAGAAGGGAAGCTGTGGAAGGACATCAGAAAAATTAAGTGCAGTATAATAACTATGAAAGATGATGTCTCACTTCTAGCAAATTACTATATTTCAACAAGATTTCACTTGTTAAAATGAAGGAATTAGCTTACATGAGAACTAAATGCTATAAAATAGCATGATCCCTTTTCCAAATTAAACTTCCATTTTTCGTTTGAAAGGGTATTGTTTCTCTAGGCCACTGAATATTACTGCTGCTCCCCGCTGAATTAGACAGGGGCTCTGTTTTACAGCGATAGCCACTCCATAGTTTATGGACTCTAGGAGGCCACAGACCAGCTGTTAAAGATATTACACAAAATCTATATTGTGAGGGAGAAGGTGTTTTCAGAATCCAAAACTGATCATTCTCCTCCCTCTCTAATTAAACAGTGACAACGCTAAAACTGGTGATCTGTGTTTTGTCAGATACCGTAGCTCTGATTCTGCTCTTGCTTACTAGTACAACTCACTTGTCTGCAGTGGAGTTATTCCTGATTTATATTGGTGTAAGTTAGAGGAGAATCAGGCCATCCTGATCAAAGAGCAGCATGAGGAGAAGACAAATCATTAAAAGGTCAAAGCAGGGAGGGAAATGAAATCAGCTGAGCCGGACATTCCAGGAACAGTGTAACCATAATAAGCGTACCTCTGCATGTATGACCGCAGCAGCGTAATTCCCAGGAGGAAGTACATCATAATGGAGCACACCATCATAGTCAGTCCTAGGAGTATGGCCCGATCTTCTCCTGCTTTCAGAGCTGTGACTGTTTTCCTTTTGTCCAGTAGATCGTGATCCCTGATTTTTTGGTAAATATTTCTGAGGTTGAAAATAATACATGCTTATGTGAAGTTCATATTTAATCAGTGAACCCTCTAAAGGGTGGGTAGTTCCACCACCACTTCCATCTCATGGGAGAGAAGGGTTCCTCAGATGTCCTTTTCAATGGATTCATTCTGACCTGGCAGGGAATTAATTCACTTCCAAAATATTTTACAGTCATTCCTGAAAAGGTAAAATCCTTGTATTGCAAATATAAACATTTAGACACTTGGGCCAGCTCAGTAAATCTATCTCTGATGTATCATTGACTCCAATGGAGTTACTCCACAGTTGAATTTTGACCTATTAACTCCAACTCTTGCCCCAGTCCCTTGAACGTTATTAGGCATTTTGCTGGGTGTTTTCTTCAGGCCTAAGTTCATTATAATAGCCAGGCCAGAAGACAATATCCACCCAAAAATATCTGAGGAGACCTCATAACACATTCTTTCTCATTTGCCTATGGGTTAGTAGAGGAGTCTGATTCAAAGCACATGGATGACAATGGAAGTCTTTCCATTGACTTTCATGGTCTTTGGATCAGGCCCTTATTTTCTATTTTTAAAATGAAACTCATGGGAATACATCTTATGCATTACATAAGAATTATCTGAAAATTATCCACCAAAGCTACTTTTCCCCTGCAATTAAGAAAAATACAAATGATTCTCCCCTCCAGCTGAGAGGGTCCTTTTCACTTCCTACGTCCTTTCATCTCCAGGCCTTTGATGATTCAAAGGTCACAGGGACACAGTGACAAGGGAGGGATGTACTTGAGTACATTTCAAACACACTCAAACTTTGTGGGTTTAAAATGTACTTACAGACCTGAAGCTGATCATAAGCTTCTGTGTTTTCTGTTAAGATTCTTTTGAATCTTCCAGACAGCACCTGATGCATGTAAGCTGCATACCTTTGAGCCCTGGCATCACCATAAAATGGCCACAGTAGTACCACCCAGAAGTAGTTCGTCTTCTACAATCTGCAAAATGGCAGGTGAGCAACATCAGAATGAGCATTATTTTGGGTTCTAACAAACCCACAACTCATCTAAGCTGAAACTATCAAGTTTCACTTGTTCTTATTAAAAAAAACAGTAGCATGTAATCTACATTAATACATCAAACACTGCAATTTCCAACAGAGTTACTACTACATATAGGGATAACACTGCAGTCATTTAAAAAAGAATGGTTTTGATGGAAAAATCATAAATGGGACTCCCACGTCCACTAGAAACAGAACAATAAGTTTGACCACAGGTTCCCAAACCTTTGCAATACTTTTGATGAATCTAAACTGAATTTGAGTTTATAGTGAGAACCAAAACCAGAAAAGGCACATGCGGTTGGTGTTTTGTAGCAAAAGTTTTGCTCAGATCTTGCTAGAAACTCTCAAACATTTCAACATACCTAAAATACAATGAGTGAAATTCTGGTTCCACTGAAATCAATGGGTGTTTTGCCATTGACTTCAACAGGGCTAGGTTTTCACTGCATCTCTCAAAGTTTCTTCTGTTACTACTGATATGGGGGCTTTTCTAGTCATTACCTTCTCCAGATAACAATTTTCTTTCCCAAGTTGATGAGTTCACTTCTAATTTACTTCCTTAGATTTCCAGGGTTTCTCTATAAAACCTGGTTCCTTAAAGACTTGCTACTATTTCCTTCATTGGAAACTAAACAGTAATTCAGCCTATTGAGATTTTCTGTGGTGTTGTGGGGAATCTTTTGTGATTTTATTGGATGCAGTTGCCTTCAAAGAACTGATGTAAAATAACAGTCAAATGTTACACTCCTTTTATTATTTATCAAAATGTATTTAACTCTGATAGCTGCTATTAAGATATGCATTGCTTCCAAATGAAAGCAGGCAGTAAGGTACCAATAGTCATACAGTTCCAGAACATTAGCCAATCACACAGCATGACTTATGTCAGTCTGTAGATGTAAACCAGACACAGTGCAATCAGTCTCTAATGTCACCAGAACATAAAAGTGATTTAAATGGACGATTTAAAAACAAACAGCTAATTGAAAATAGTTACAAATGTTTCCCATGTGGCCTGTAGCCAAGAAGTGTGCAATGAAAGGTAAAAAGATGGACTACAAGCTATGTTGTAGAAACAATCTACCTACACGGTGATTGGAAAACTGAGCAGTGTGTGGGGAAAATCTGCCAGTTTTTTTCAAGACCCCAAGGCCACAAAGAATAAGCATCTGCTGATGAGGTCATGCCAGGAGTATTGACAACTATTTTTCTGTTGCCATTGTTGATGAAAAGCCCTAAAAAAAGATGGAATTTGATGCATTTTATGTGATGTCTTCATCCCCTGAACTGCTGCTATAAGTGAGTCTGGGTAACAGTTGAACACTGCAAATATATGGTTAGATGATGACTTGAGGCACGGATCTGAGAATGTGGTGGTGTGTCAGATGCCCCATCTCACGCAGCAGCTCCAGGAGATACAGCACTAAGTCACAATTCCTCCCCTGCTTCCCCCTTGCACCAGGGGGCTCATGGGGGAACTTGCTGCTGGTCAATACCAGCAGAAAATTCTGATGCTCTCCCTGCACCAACCAGAAAGAGTAGGAAGGGGTGAAGCCACGAATCTGTGCACTCCCTGCACTACATTCCCTGCCCACCTTTTGCAGTGGAAGCAGTCAGATGGTATGTAGCACCTGTTTACGTCTATGAACCCTCACTTGATGCCTGGGTAGCCTGCGCAGTGGAGTAATGGGAGATCTTACCCCCATCTGACTCCCCTGTGTAGGTGGGTAGCCCAAATCACAATCTAACCCATAAGCAGCATGTCCTGCCACCAGCAGAAGCACCACTCCCTCATTTCAGCTGGAGTAGCACAGTTATTTTACGGGGACAACTGTCCTTCAGGTCAACACAGTAGATGATTCTACTAAAATCAGAACATTTTGAAATCCCTCATCTGACCGGTAAGACTGTAGGTATGACTTTGCTTTATCCAGTTGTTCCACTGCTCCAGATATATCAAGGTCAACACCTTGGAGTCTCTTGCTTACAACATTTATTTCAAACAGTATGTCATACCACAACACAAAGCCACACATAAATTTGAAGTTATGTATATTTCTGGTGATTCCATTTCCCTCTGCCACTGTTCTCCCATGAACAGTTCCTGTCATAGCATTATCCTCCATAATGACAACTATGGCATCATCTATCTTCCCAATTTGGTGTTTGATAAGCTTTATCGCCTCCACTTGACTTTCCCATCGTGTGGCACTCAGTGGTTTCAGTGTCAGAGAGGATGTTCCCAGATGTTGCTTCAAAATTTGCCATCAATGAGTTGATGCAGAGAAAAATACATAGATGCTTTGAATTACATTAAAAAATTCAGCAGCCTCACTAGAAGCTGATGCTGCATCACTGACCACCAAGTTCAATGAATGAGAACTGCATGGGAAAAAAAAGCTCAAGGGTTTAACTCTCGGATCCGTGTTTATACTCCTCTGTTCTTTCCTCTCATGTTGGCACCATTATTGTAGCCCTGACCTCTCATGTCAGCTATCGCAATTCCCATATCTTCCAGCGTTTTAAGAAGCACATTTGTCATACCAGCTCCTGTAGTATCATCAATGTCAATAAATTTTAGAAAATGCTCTCTGACAGTCACCATTGCAGGGACATTTTCAGTAGGTTCTGTTGTTGTTACAAAACGCACCATTAAAGTAATTTATTCAGTATGGCTGATGTCAGGTGTACAGTCCAGAATAACAGAGTAATGTCTTGCTGACTTCAGATCTGCCACAACCTCCTGTTTGACTTTTGTTGCCAGTAACTGTATGATCTCATTTTAAATTGTTTTTCCAAGGTAGTGGTGGTTAGGGTGACCAGATGTCCTGATTTTATAGGGACAGTCCCAATTTTTGGGTCTTTTTCTTATATAGGCTCCTATTACCCACCACCCCTTGTCCCAATTATTCAAATTTTCTCTCTGGTCACCCTGTGTACATTTCTTGGGTGGTGACTCTTCTGAGATGCTCCTGGAGTACAGCATCAAACTCAGCCATCAGCTCCACAATTTTAAGGAAGTTTCCATTGTTTGGCACATACAGCTGATCTGAAGTGCCATGCAGTGCTAGGTTTTGGGTAACAAGCATTCTCACAAAGGCAATGAGCCTTTTCAGAACATTTTGCCAGTAAAGAGACTCTGGTGCAATCTTCTCTTGATGCTGATCATCTATGGTGGCCTTTAACCTTAGTCTCATCTTAAGCTCTTTCCACCTATGGAATGCTCTCTGGTGATTTGCTGCCTTCTCACGGCATGCCAGATGTCTAGCCAGATTTTTCCAGTCCTTTGTTCCTATAGAACCCAATGTGGCTGGAACATTAGACTGGAAGAGTTTGCAACAAAAACAGTATGCAGCATTCTGGGTTTTTGAGTACATAAGCCATGGCCTCTCCACTTTGTCACCATTGGGGATTTCACGCCAGTAATGTGTTGAATGGAAACTTCTATTTTCATTGTCTTTGGGGAACATGAAATTTTTCACTTGCTGTGGCCCAGGCAGTACAAGGAAGTCCCTCAGGCTACTGCTCAAGTGGGTCCACAGTCCTGGATCATCTAGACTTAAGGAACTAAACTCAGCAGCAGCTGTTTCTTGCGCCTCCATTACACTCTTCTCTGATCTACACTTTTCTTCAGGAATGTGCATGGTTACATCCATTAGAGATGGAGATATGGATGCTGCAGTAGCTGCCAGGTCACCTGCACTCTGACTAACTGGAAGATCAGGCGTCTCCTCACCACTCACATCTGCACTGGGGCCGGAAGGCTCACCTTGAACATTTGTGTCTATGTATCTCAGGAGAGCTCCTTCCTGCTTAGATAGAAAAGCTTCCTTTGCTTTCTTTCTTTTTCTGAATGCTGCCCCAGAGGGGAGTTTTCTTCTTTCACTCATGACTGTTCTGTGCCAGCTATAGTGGTTCTCAACACTCAGTTGAAGGTGATAAGCAGA